ACCCTTTTATGAAATTTGCTACAGGGTTGTCACTTTATAATAAAACTAATTAATTAAAAGTAACAACCAATCGGTTTTATCATTTCGATGTAGACGTTGGACCTTTCAAAGATTTTATAACGTCCATTAGCTCAATTCTATGTAGACAGCTAATTCTTAGTACTTTACTAACTTATTTTGCAACTTAGTTTTACGACGACCCGATTTGTAAAGATTCTGTGCTAACTTTTTTAACGTTCCGTGGAAATATGTTGGATTTGTGGGTGAATAACTTTATCTGAAAAACTTAAGTGAGTACTTACATAAATTAAATGGTGTGAGCGCATACGACTTTTGAATGCAATGTAATGTTCCTGAGTTTCTTTATAGTGGTACTATATGATGTCCTTTTTCTATTAGTATCACTAAGTCTTTTGACTAAGTAATGAAAGGTTTTATCGCTATGAGATTATCGATGAAATACCGAAACAAACTAAAGAGGTCAGTCTCTTTAACAGTCCAATTAGCTGCTATCTACAACTTGTTAACGTGTTTTTTTTTATAAAACGTTGCCCCGCAATGAGATTTTCCTCTGTGTCGTGGGTGCGGTTACAAACATACAATTTAACATACACATGACACCTAGACCCGGAACAACAATTTGTGGATAACACAAAGAGTTGTTCCGTGCGGAAATCGAACCCGCGACACGTTGCACGGCAGCCAGTTGCCCAGCCACCGCACCAACCGTGCAGTCATGATACTCATAGTCCATTAATACGACGTTCTTAAAATAGTTACAAGAAATCAAGTATTAACGTCATCAACCCCATTAAGAAAATAATACTTACACATAAAGTAAGTGATGAAAATATACACAGTCAATTCAATACAGTCAGTCATAGGAAATAAAAAATAAAAACTCAATCTGTAGTACCTCCGCGAAGGTGATAAAAATAATTGGTCGAAAAAAAAATATATTCCACGGAAAAATGTAATAAGTGAATTTATATAAAACGAATTAATGTAAAATCTTAAATTCCTTCAAAACAAATATCCGGGAAGGTATGTACTTGTACGTAATGGAATGAGACAAATTCCGAATATCTGCGGAAAGCAATACGAATATTAGAAAATCCCCATACGGCGATGCTTTGGGGCCATGAAAACCGCGAATTTATTAAATGTTGCACTGTTATTTTTATTTTTATTATTCTATGCATATTTTACACTTATTCTAGGAAATTGTGGAAACGTTTTTGTCTTGGAAGGGAAATATAACGCTTTAATGGTACAGATGTTTCTCACACGCGAGTGTTGTAAATCGCATTTTCCAAGGAATTTTAATTTTGTTCTGAATACAATTTCCTTTGTAAATAAGTAATTTGGCTTTTCATCTGACGCACATTGTTATTTATTTATTGGTTTGTATACAATTGATATACATAACTACATTGAAAATTATTTATACAAGCACTAATGTTAAGAAATAGCATTTATTGTGTACAAAATATTAATTAACAAGACACGACATTCACAAATTACATGGATGACAAGTTTTTTTAAACTAAATATCTACTCTTAATTAGAAGTTTTTAGAAGCTTTAAGAGGCGATAATGTGTGTATTCTTATTGAAAAATTAACAAAATGGCTACCTACAGTATACACTAAAATGTTTAATGCAATCTCTTTAATTCTATATTGCCTAATTCAAAAACCCTTCTCAAAGATATAAGCTGGATTTATTACAAGATTTGGGAACTAGTTGTTGTAGAATTAGTAGTAGGAGAAATTAATGTTTGAAATTCTTTCGCATCTATTCAATTAGTACTTAGTATCTACTGACTTCGTTGTATCCCACTTGTTTACCCGCCATTTTTAAAGCCATCCGACTCAAGATATTATTTCTGAATTCCTTCGGAAACATACTTAACAGATTTGAAAACTTCATCTGTCCTTTCTTGTAGACATTAAGTTATACAAGTCTCTTAAAATTTATTACACAGTTTTTGGTACTGGTATTTTTATGCCAAGAAAACATTTGTTTAATTTATTCTTAAAATGTTAGGTACCTTCTATTTCAAATATAAAAGAAACAGATTTTATTAATAGATACTTCCTTTATTGAATTTTAAAATTTCTATTTAAGTTACAAAAATGTTATTTATAAAAAAAAATTTAACAAAAAAAAAACCGACTTCAAAAGTAAACTAAAATGCAAAAAATTATTTACTTTGCTCAAAGTAATACACACTTTCATTTAGTTAAATAGAAAACAATATTTAATAACTATTTTATAATCTTAAAGTCGGTGCCAAGTAAAACTATAACCGCGTAAAGATATTACTTACATACCTCTTGCTAATTTGATGATTAGTAGGTACCGATCAATATATTTTTCTAATACTGTTGTTGTTTGGTATATAGCATTTACTTGGCACCGACTTCAAAATTATAAAATAGTTATTAAATATTGTTTTCTATTTAACTAAATGAAAGTGTGTATTACTTTGAGCAAAGTAAATAATTTTTTGCTTTTTAGTTTACTTTTGAAGTCGGTTTTTTTTTTGTTAAAATTTTTTTTATTTTACCATTTTAAGTGATAGGCAAAGAAAGCTAGGATGCTTCTTAAAAGAGAAGACGACGGCTACTTGAGACCGAAAATCACAGTAATGGTAGTCCTGAGTTAGACAGCTTTCAGTGCCGTAAATCGTTGAGGAATTCCCGCGTATGTCAATGACCTCCATTATCAGGTACACTGCAGACCTTCATTATACATAATCCATATAGGTGCAGAGTTCTCATCGATATAAATGAATTAAGTCCAAACACGAGGTAGTTACTGTAAACCGTTCAGGAGTTCCCTGAGCTGTCCATCGTTCTCAACATCAGACCCTTAATGACAGTCACGACCAATCTTGGTGCAAAGTGCTCACCAATACGAATCATTCAAGCCTAAACACAAGGCAACTACTCCAAATAATCAAGGAGATCCCTCGACTGCCTCCCGGCTCCATCATCACAATTTACTGCATAACTTCATTGTAATCCATAGAGGTGCAAAGTTTTCATCGATATAAATGAATTAAGTCCAAACACGAGGTAGTTACTGTAAACCGTTTAGGAGTTCCCTGAGCTGTCCATCGTTCTCATCATCAGACCCTTAATGACAGTCACAATCAATCTTGGTGCAAAGTACTCACCAATACGAATCATTCAAGCCCAAACACAAGGCAACTACTGCAAATAGTCAAGGAGATCCCTCGACTGTCTTCCGGCTCCATCATCAGGTCGGGTTCGAACGTCGGCAAGTTGTAAATTTGTCAAAAGCCTACTAAAACCATATGCAAAAGTACCACTGGCCCCTACAATTTTTGAAAGTTCCCCTCGATTTCTCTGGTCTTCCATCATCAGATCCTGATTTCCTTATCATGGGACCATTCTGGGACTATCTCCTTTCCAATAAAAAAGGAATTATTAAAATCGGTTCATAAATAACGGAGATATCGGCGAACAAACATAAAAAAAAAGCATATATACGGTCGAATTGAGAACCTCCTCCTTTTTTGGAAGTCGGTTAAAAAATAGAGAAAGCTGTATTTAAGAGTACCGGTGTAACGAGACGAATTCGAACTAAGGTGGTCAGGGTTGCTGATACAATAACATATGCTTATATTTTGATTCATTACCTATATTTATTTGTTTTTTTTTTTTTGGCAATTATACTATACGTAAACATGCGACCCCCTCCGGCTTCCCACGGGAGAGAATCATATCAGTATTGATACTAAAATCATTCCAATATAAATGAGAATAGTGCAATCATTTTAGTATTTATTACATTTACTTACTACACACTTACTTACTTAATACACTTACTTACTAAAATTATTACATCAGTTTATCGGTCAAAAATCCGATTTAAAGATCTGTCTGTCTGTGAGGAAAAATACTTTGTAAAATGCTATGTAGTGCAGTATTACACAATTAAATTGAATAATATCTGAGTTTGATATGGTAGGGAGTGAGATCCGCGTTGCTATTGCAATGAAAATGACCTGATTGATTTTCGCCATCGATTACTTTTATGTGTGCGTTTTGCAGCAACAAATTGCAGATGTAATGCTTTCTGATTTAAGAAGCTTTTATGATATGAATGTCTGTGAATATATCTTTTGCACAGATACACGACAAAATCATACTGCTCGAACCAAATTATGTAATTTTATGTACTCAGTGAGTTAACCACGGTAAACCTACTTTTTAATATTTATTTGTCAAGTTTCGAAGCATATTTTCTAAAAATAATTAAATAAATGAAATACATTCTTAACCGAATTGCAAAAGGTTACAACTTGACACCGACATCAAAATTAGAAAATAATTATTAAGTACATATTATTTTCTATTCGGTATGAAAATACACATTACTTTGTCAAGTACGAAGTAAATTTATTTTTTCTTTTCAGTCTACTATTTAAACTCGTTTTGTTTGGATCAAAAATATTTTGTAGAGTATTAAAAGAATCAGATACATTTCAATATTGCATTAAAGTATGTTTTCGCTGATTTTAAGGGCTGTATCTTCAGATTTGATGTAATGTAATTTACGATAAGAATTTCAACAGTTACATCGAATAGCAGACGACGCTGGCGGGAGCTTTTGTCAAACATGCCTATCTTGAAGGTTAAACCAACACTTGGAACAAATTTATAAAAAAGAATTCTTTTGGAAAAGTCTGATGATGGAAGGATGAGGATGATGGTTGGTTTATTTGTTAACAATTCATTAGTCAGTTACTTATAATAAGAGTAGCAGCTTATTATTGAGCTTGCATTTTTATACATTATTTACGATTTAAAATACTAAAGATTTTTCTAGTGTGGGAGAGCCATGCTTCGTCACGAGTGGGTCGGCTCGACCAGAGTGATAAAACCGGCGTGAAACAACCACAGCGTTGTGTTTCGCCGTGTGAGTGAGTTTACCGGAGGCTAAATCCTTCCCCTCCCCAATCACTCGTCAATCCCTAAATCTCCAAATTCCTAATCCCTCAAAGGTCGGCAAGGCACTCGTAACTCCTTCGTTGCGGGTATCCATGGGGAGCGCTGATGGCTTACCATCAGGTAATCCGTCTGCTCGTTTGGCGACCTATTACACAAAAAAAAATGTTTCTTTAAAAAAAAAACGTGCGACAAAGTTGTTTTTTACAAACGATACACACAACACTAAGATTTTCTTCTATTTGCATTTACAAATATACAAAGTCACACACCCAAACCCGAAACAAAATCTTTCTAGAAGTTTCTTGAATTTTTAGTTCCCATTTGTACTGGTGCAAGCGTAAATGGCCCCGGCCTGAAATAGGAGATCCACGTTTTGGGTGTTAGTCCGTAAGAATCTGACATTCCCTCTCATTCCATTTAGGCGGGAAAAGTAATTTGATGATATTACTCACTCAAAAAACGTGAGATGTACAGACTATTTAGATCAAATTAAACTACTAAATTATTATTATTACACAGTTCTTCATAATGGTTCTAAATAAAGTGCGCGTCTGCCAAAGCCGTGTAAGGATTCATCTTTAGAGAATAGCGTGCATGACTTTATTTAATTGTGCACATGAAATGCGTTTCTTCTTACATCGCTCGTCAAAAGCAAAGATGCCATTCTATACATAGTATACTTATACTTACTTATTCTACATCAGTTATTGCTTTGGCTTCGTCGAATGTTCCTATATATAAAGTTTACTTGGACTGTTTCGACATAATAATGAGAGAATCGTTTGACGATCTATATATACATAACTAGCTGACCCGGCCAACTTCGTACAGCTTCAAATATTTTATTTTTTCATGTAGCCAAATTTTCTCACCTTTTAAACCTGCCCTGTATATCCAAGAATATTTCAAGACTACATTAGGCCATGTTGGTTCAGCCTTTTTCGAGTTTTAGCGAGACTAACGAACAGCAATTCATTTTTATATATAAGATTATATTTAATTCAAAAAAGTCGAATCATTTATAAAATGCGGATAGTTTCAAAAGTTTAAATTAATATTTGTCAGTCTATCATCATGGCATGGTCAGTCTTCTAGTGATACTATTTACTCGTTTCAAAACGTACATTATTATGGTCAAAAATGAGCAAGAAACTCCATGGTTACTCCTTTTCAATCAGTTTTACAATTCAATCGTGTAGTATCATGGTCTATACAATATCCTTAAGAGAAATGTTAAAAAATAATTATGGACGTGAAAAATATATCCATTGAGTCATTTCGATGTCGTATAAAAACTAAATATAAAGCAAAAGCACAGACAAAAAATCTCTACCAACATGCCACTTCACACGAAGGAAACACATCGAATAAATACAAAATAACCTAAAAAAAAATTGGAATACGTTTTCAGAAAACCATTTCTTTTAACGAACTTCGTTATGGTGCTTATGTACAGGGGTCTTGCGAGGCATGCCGCCATTATTATTATATTCTCGCAATCAGTAGGTACCCTCTCATTTCGTATTCTCGTCGGCCAGAGGTCTCTTGTATCTTAGGTGCACAATAAAAATAGATGAACTCCTTGTACGGGTTTCTGTAATTTGTTTTATGTAAAGTGCCTTCGTCACGCATTGGTGTGACAAATTTGTTCTTAGATATAGATTTTGCTGGATATGTGTTTTTGAGTTGGCATGTTTGATGCTTATCTTGGTGACTTTAAGTAGTGCTAACTGAAGCTAGAAATATTTAAGTACTACGAGCAATTTGTTCCAGCAGGCGTTAGAGAGCATTCAGACCACTATAGACGGGTAGGTCGATAGGTTTATGAAAATAGTTGTGATTGGATTAAGTAATGACTCTGAGTATGTCAGTAAAAATAATTAGATTCTAAGGTAATTGTGACGTTGATGTTTATTTAAATTTAATCTAATTTTACAATTATTTATTTTGATTGTATTTGTTTAAGCGATAGCAAATACAATACTCTGTCGGTCCATTTTCAAAAATACTTTTTTATTTATAAAATCTAGATAGTCATTATTTGACTTCAGCTATCGTTTGACATCAAACTTTTTATTTAAGCAGAATTTAACAATTACTGTATATTTTTGAAATAGAATTCTAAGAAGTCTGGCACAAATTCAAACTGTTGTATGATCATATAATAGGCTACACAAAAAAAAAAAACACTGTAAACGAAATCTCGGCCCACTATTTCGCGGAAAAACAAGCGTGACATTATGTTACAACAATAAAAATATAATGTTAGTACATTTTCTGTTTTCAGAAAGCCATATAAAACAATTTCAAAGCACTTAATGCTTCGATTACAATACTTATTACTTAGGCAGTAGAGAACATAGTCCTAAAACAAAGATATGTGTTGTCATCGATCAAACCTGGTACCTGCTCTTCCTGATACTCTTTCATAAAATTCACTGATCTTAATATACAATTTGTGACTTCAATAGCAGGCGCTTTGAACTGTAATTGTGACTTAAGCTTTTTTTTACCCGCGAGAACAACTGTTATCTAGTATTTGTGCGATACCTGTTATTTATACCTGTGATGAAAAATACACCTCATGCCTACAAACACCTAACTGCGTACCTAAATCGAAATAATAACATATGCTACAATTACAATATGATTACTGCGTGCTCATTTCAATAGACCTACAGAATGTAGAAGAGCCTTTGTTTGGCTGTTTTTGCGTACGATCAAGATGTTTATGTTTTTGGTATACTCGTGGAATTCTGATGTCGTATCCAGTGTACATATGTCCCAACTTTTAGTACAAGGAACGTGGTTAGTCGGTACAAAGTTTTGGTGTTCAACCACGCTACATTTTACCTTAATTACATTTTCACAATGTACTTCTAGTTGCCAGCCTAGTAATTGTACGGAGGGTAAGAGGCTATTTAATACAAATTACTTGAGTTAGTTAGGATTTGTTGAAAAAAAACTTAGTTCATCTACGAATTTAGTTTGGTTTATGAAAGTTCAATTACGTAGGTACTCTTTGCGTATTTTTTTTTATTTAGTATGCGGCTTTCTTACTGGCTTTGGCGGTTTGTTTTATCAATTCATCAATCTTACGGTACCTAATTAATAGTTAGTGTTGTTGTTTAGGTAATCAACAATTAGTGATTCTTCAAACATACTAGGTTTTTATTCGCAAAAATGTATAAGAATATGAAATTGATATTTTTTATCCAGACCAGATCATTAGTTGCTGCGTGTATAAACAACTTTAACTTTGCGTTTAAGGTGAAATCTACAGTGGAAGCTAATCTTACCGCGAGATTCATGCCAAGAAAATTATCGATGATAAGTAGCAATAGGTAGTAATCGGTGCCAGTAGACAAAAGGCACATTGTTTAATTCCAAGTTTGTGTACATAATTTCTTCCATCGATATGCATAAGCCTTTTACCAACTTAACTGTAACGTTAATCTTTTGGGGTAATTATCATTGCAATACATATCAGATTAATCATCCAAATTATAACTCACCTACTCGTTTGAATTATTCGAGAAGATCTCGACTCGTTTCAAGTCATAACGAGTCTCTTATTTACGAGCAGCTTTGTTCAGCATCAGACCAGTTTTCATCGCGCTGCACATGCTGTTAATTGAGTTAATTATTACTAAAAAAAACTCTACAGATAAGAACAAATGAACCCACTAAGCACAAAGGTGGCTAGATAGAACTGTATAAATGCTAATTGTGAACCATAAACTACAGGACCACATCATCCATAACTAAATTACGTCCAAACCAGGGGTAGTAAATCATTGGCACGTTTCAAATTAATTCACTGCTGTACCTGAGACTAATCCATGACGCAATCAGCTCGCTTTTGTGACCAAAATCGAATTGTGATGAGCATTTAACTTTGTTCGGGTTTTTTTTTAGTTTTTCATCTGATGTATCGCGTTTGGCTTTTTGACTGATAAATGTTGGATTGACTGAAAGAAACCTTCACTCTAGTAAGAGGTTGAAAATCTAAAGAGGAAAAGGGTTGTGGTTTCCTATAGACCGGTTTGACCTGCATTCCACGAAAACTGGCGTGAAGCAACACGCTTAAGATGTATTTCGGTTACCAGCGGTCCAATTCATCCCCCTCCATTCTTAATCCATAAATCCTCAAGAGGACAACAAGGCACACGTAGTAACTCCTTTGGTATTACGAGTCTCCATATGCGACGCTGATTGCTTAACATGAGGTAATCCATCCGCCGACGTATGCCGTAAAAAGTTGTGTTCAATAGTGTATAGGACCGCACAGCGATTGGTTTAATTTTTGAAATTTGTAGACAAACAAAATCCTGCATATTAATTTAAAGTATTAATTTATGGGTGGTTTTATTAGAACAATAGATTATCTACACCGAGGTAAATTAATATGAATTTGTTTTTATAAAATCCAATGGGACATTATTGTAGTTTTATGTTCGGTTTAGTCGTTATGTCCATTATTTTACATTCACTTTGAAACTTTCATTGAAAATACTGTGGGAGAGCCGTGCTTCGGCGCGAATGGATCGGCTCGACCGGAATGATACCTCGGCGGCTCGGCCTCACAGAAATCGGCGTGAAACAACCACAGCGTTGTATTTCGCAGTGTAAGTGGGGTTACCGGGAGGCCCAATCCTTCCCCTCCCCAATCCGTCCCCAATGCCTAAATCTCTAAATCCCTAATCCCTAAAAGGTTGGCGAACGAACGCGTAACTCCTCCGTTGCGTGTGTCCATGGGCGGCGCTGATTCCTTACCATCAGGTAATGCGTCTGCTCGTTTGCCGACATAATTTTTTTAAGAAATTAAATCGCAAAAGCAAGAATATTATACCGTCAGATTTTTTTGAGATTATCCATGTATTCAGTGGACATATTAATATCGTGCAGATGTGAGACTTATACCACATAATAGACAGGCAGGCACATAAAAACTCTTTAGAAAACTGGTACTGGTAAATTAACCCAAGCCCAACTCAACCCAATCAATAAGCAAGGGTTGTTGATGTTTATGATAAAATTTCCAAACAATATTAAGTAAGTAAAATTAAAGTTAAAATCATCATCATCGTTACTATTATCGGCAAGGCCCAACTGCAGAATAAAGGAGATTTCTTTATATTAAACTACTGGCCTTTGCCCGCAACTCCGTTCGCGTGGAATAGTGACTTCTTCTTCTTCTTCTTATAAAAACTATCCTGTGTCTTTTTTCGGTTCCAAACTATGTCTGTAATTTCACAGAAATCGGTTCAGTAGTTAAGGCGTGAAGAAAAGAAAAACAGGCTGATAGACAGACAGTTAATTTCAAATTTATAATATTAGTTTGGATAAGCCCTTGCATTTTCGTAGCTAGCGTAATAAGGTACCGCAGCCTCAGCCTAAAGCAGGAGAAAAAACAGGGGTTTTTTAGTCAGTAAGAATCTGACACTCTCTCTCGCCTCACCCTGGGCGAGAAAAGTCATTTGTAATTTTCCCGTAGCAAAAAAAGGTTTCCTCGCGTGATTTTCCATCACCGTAAAATATAAAATATTTGTTATAAAATCTACAAGCAATATTTTGTTTCATCTCAGTTCGAAGAGAAGCCTGGTTTCGATGAGGCTCAATTATTTAAGGCCTCCTTATTTCAATTACCTATTAGCTCGACTTAATAATTACATACAGTATCGAATTTTCATTTAAACAGCGGTTCAATTTTTCTTAGTAAATTTTTTAAGCAGTTTTCGGTAATTATATATTTTCTTAATGTTATAGGTTCGTAAACGAACAGGCAGATTACCTGGTGGTAAGTAATCAGCGCGTTGACGGCCTCTTGTGGGTTATTCGGGATTTAAGGATAGGGGATTTGAGGATTGGGCCTCCGATAACCTCACTCTCACAGTAAAACACATCGTAAGTGGGGCTTCAGGACGGTTTTCTGTAAGGCCGTGGTATCACTCCGTTCCGAGCTAGCCCAATTGTCCCGAAGCATAGCTCCCACACTTGAATTACCTCCTTTTTGATAAATAAGTTGTTATATTTGGTCAATGTGTAAGACATCCTGACATTTAATGTAGAAGCTTTCATTCCTTTGATACCATATTAGTACGGATTACTGGAAATGTTCGGTGCCTTTACTGTATAAAACATTTTCTCTAGAATATCAAAGATTTATGTAATAATTTTGAAAAGTACTTGTATGAAACACTTTTAGGTAGGTAGGTAAGAGTATTATTAACTCTTTTGTGTTTTGCTTTTTTTCCTCGACTAGTATTCTGTGTTATTTTAGCTATGTGAGTGACCTTATACCTACTCCTAATACTTTACAAGATTCGACATGGGAAGTACCCACACATTTTTGTTTGCACTATTCAGGCTATTCAGCATAGAAATATTTCTTTTAATTCTAAGCTTACTATGAGGTGTTTTGCCATATATTACCTGCAAGATTTTTAATTAAATTTCAATATACATCCATAGATACTTGACATTAAGGTTTAAGTTTTATTTTTACTAACAAGTTTTGTATTATAATGTATATTTACGTTCGTTTTTAAGTTATCTATAAGCCATTGACGCTTTAATATAAAAGATTATAATATTTTATTAAATTAAGCCATTTAAACAAACAAACAAGTTCCTTGAAATTTATTTTATTGGTTACAGTTCAATAATTACTTACTTATGAATTAAGCTTTTTTCGTAATAATTTCATCAGCTGTAACGCAAAGTATAACTTGTTTCCTTGTTGAATACAAAGTGAACTTAGCAATATATTCTCCGTAAAAAAACGAAGAGCCATAGAAAATCTTTACGGATTCTGAGAAGTTTACAAAAGTGCTGTGGGAGCCCTGTGAACAGAACATAATGGACGATAAATTAATTAGGAATAATTATATTCCTTAGCAAAATTCCCCGTTTTTCTTCAATAGGTTAAGTAAAAAAACTTACATAACAGACCACACAGATCATCTTGTGATCTGTTATGATAGTTATGATGGCTGCTTTGGTATGTGAAATCCTAAATCTGTTTTCCGATATGATTCATTGAATAGCGCTTAAAATTCCCGGTGCATAGATTTATAACTATAACTATTGAATCCGTAGGTGCAGTTGTATCATTTTATAAATTTTTTGAAGAAAGAAATATAAAATACAAATTACCCACCTTTCGAAGAACACAACTGCGCAGGTCCACGTATGATTTTAGTGCTGCCGCCACGAGTCGGTTTAGACAAGGTTTCTCTATAGAATAGTCCCATACCAGCTTCTTGTGGTTATTTTGCAGCCTATGGATAGCGACTTTCATCTAAAATAAAATAATCAAGTATTAAACACTCTCTAGTCATATGTTGAATCATTTTGAAAAAATATTTTTATAGATTTTAATTGGAAATCAAAATTTATAAAAATAATGGAAACCACGAAATCGAAAAGAATACAAATATACAAACTTCAATAATCCGAGCAGCATCAGTAAGCGTCAAATTAACTCCACCTTTATACACATTTTGATCCAAATACAAGAATGTTGTAATATTTGCTAAAGTTTTTTCTACGTCTGGACACGCTTTGAAATATCGAAAGCTAACATCAAAAGGACCCTGAAACAAATAAAAAAACGTTATACCCAGGAAATTCCAATCATGTCTCTTTTGTAACAATTTCACATATTTTAAGCATGACGCGTGTTAAGACCGACATCATTTATTAAAGAATAAATTCTCTCCCTCTGATTTCACGGTTGACGAGGTGGTTGGAACAATTCTGTGTGTGATCCCCAAATTTTTGTTCTAGCTCTAAGTGTGATGTACGCGTAGAAATGTGTGTTTTTAAAGATCTAAGACACAGGAGGAAATAACAGTATGAGGAAACGTTTTAAACACTATAATAATTAAAAAAAAAAACATTTTTCATCTTACATAGGTGTCAGAATTCTTTGGTCCATCCATCAAAAACTGTAATGAATCCACATAATGTGATATAGTAACCAATATAAATAGATACAATATGAACATCACGACTATGTTAGCTGTTGGATTTGGTACGGAAATAATGGTTAATACTGCTATAGATACAACAGTTGCAAGGACTGGAAAAAACAACAAATAATGTGAATTTGATGAAGCTGTAGAATTAAGTGCTGTTTGTATCAATGTTTCGGATGAAGTAATTTGATTAACTGATTATGGCGACCGAGAAGAGCCTAATACGATTTTAATGAATATACATAGTAGTGCTATTAATAGACGTTATTATTTTTAGATGTTTGTCTTTCGTATTGATTTAGCTGATGGTACTGAGATCAGGTAGCCATAATGACATTATTTATTGTTATAATTCAAGTTTCTTTACTAACCTGCTTACTTCTTTATAAACCGTGAGATCCTGGGTTATGTATGTCTTTTTGAGCTTATGAGCTTTAAGAGCGTTTGTATTTATTTTTTAGCGTGAGTCAATATAGTTTCGTATAATCGCACAATTCTCACCGTGACCACCGGTGTCTTAGATTCCTCTGGTGGGAAATGGCTTTTTTTATTTTTATCGTTAAATTTTATTATAATGAATGTATAAAGACAAATATGATTGGTTCGAAAAGAGGTAAAACGACAAAACTTTTCAATAAATTTGTTCGAAACATTTATATCAACAATGATATCATAGCAAATCATGAATGCTGTGGTAGACCCATGTTTACCAATCGCTGTTGGAATAGTAAACAGAGAGCTATTACCATTAACATAATATGTACACACTTTAGTCGCATTCATTTCGTTATTGGAATCATTGCACTGAAGCTATTTTAAAACTAGCTACTCTCACGCGTTTCCACCCGCTGCTCAGCTCCATTTAATCGTAGCGTGATGTCTTATAGCCTATAGCACTCAGAAATATTGTAGCTATCTATCAGTGAAAGAATTTTGGCAATCCGACCAGTGGTTCCAAAGATTTCCCCTTTACATACAAACTTACAAACTTACAAATTTTACCTCTTTATAATATAAGTATAGATAGTATAGATAAATATGAATTTTCTATTAAAGAGCAGTTTCTGTCTCGGATAGTTTATCAATCATAGCTTTGAGGTTGCAATCCCTCAGTCGTCCACGTTCGATGGCTTTTTATTTCTTCTCAGATTCAGCTTTGAATACTGATCGTTCATCAAATATCACTGATGAATAGAATTGATAGTTGTCTTTGTTAAAATTAATGAAAATGTAAATAACGACTTACTCAGAAATGTTCAACTAGTTTGAAGTCTCCTCATTCACGAACCGCGTGCACTTCGCGGTGAACGTCAAGCAGATCATAAAAAATCATGAGCAGCGTTGTAATTTGAAACTAATAGAACTTTTCTCAGTTATGACTTAATTCACGTGAGTAATTTATTATTTTCAAAAAAAAAAAATAAGAAAAACAGGAATTGGGGAAAATACTATAGGTGCGGGAAAGGAGCTGAGAGAGGCAGTTAAAAATAATTGTAAGCTTTTTTTTTAGCTTTTAATCTATAAAAATTTAAACAACACTTTTCTTAGAAAAAATTGCATTGATCTGTATACACATTATGTTTCCTTGCTTCGCTATGGCGTTCATTTTGAATGAATAATCACCGTAAAAGAATGAGTTGCCAAAGAATTTGTACGAAATATCAGTGTAGTTCGTTTTGTAATTATATTCACCCTGCAAAAAAAAACAGAAAAAAATATGTAAACATGACACATACCTACATAACGTTTAATATGTTTATTTTTTATGTCGCCAAGATCCAGCTAAATGTATGTTTGTAATTTAAATATTACATAAAAAATGCCAATTTTAATCAGTTATTCGTCATTATTTCAGAAATCCTTTTTATAAGTCTTAAAAAATCGATGAGAATATTTATCTTTTTCTGTTTTCGATTTTTAATAATATTTCAGCGTCAGCGCTCACTCATAAACAATTTTGGATCTTTTTTAAACGTGTGCAACGTTTAAAACGTCTGGAGCAATGAACCGCGTCATGACAAAAAATAGTCGTTTGCATAGTGTTTTGCCGTGCGAGTTAGTCTCTGGAGGCCGAATCCTCAAACCGCCTAAAAATCGACAAAGAACTTATAAACCCTCGTTATTGCTGTATATGAGCGGCACTCATTGCTTACCATCAAGTCTGCTTGTTTACTGATGTGTAGCAGTACACTGTTTTAGATTGTATGTGTTGAAATATCGCATTGCTAGAAGATTAAAATAAAAAAAATCTAAAGTATTCCTGAAATAGTTCCTATGTCAACAATGCTTAGGTTTATAATTTAAACATAGGTTTTATATAATACATACATACCGGTGGAATGACACAGTTACGCATATTAGGGTAGTATTGTTTCATTATACCGCTGATCATGAAATGTTGGCACGGCTTGTTCACTTTGTAATTCCATAATATATTCTTCTGATTTCCATTCACATTCCACACAATTGTTTTGAACTATAAAATCAAAGTTTAATAATTACTATTCAATCTTTGTTTAAAAAAAAACATTTTGAGAAAATAGTGTCATAAATCAATAAAAGTCTAGTATAGTGCAAGATCGCTCAATAGTACAGTAGGACTTATCCTTCCCGAATACCCAATCCCTGATCCCTCCCAGAAACCCCTGATCAATTTGACAAACGTATAGTTCTATCAAATAGTTGTAATCATTTCCAGGAAACAGTTATCTCAATAGAGTGAAAATGATGGTAAGAATGAAATCTAAATCCCTGATTTAGAATAGTAACCTGAAGAATAGTAATCTAAAACTTTATTTTTGGACTATTACATGGGACTTTTAACATACCTAAAAAAATCCCAAATGGAACATCAGAGTGTATATTAATAAATAATTAGTGAAAAGTGCAACAATGTTTATGTGCACATCTGCTCATAAGCGTGGTGTTGTCTTTAAGTACTTGGATGACGTCATTTACCTCTTCCACTTTAGCAGGTTCAGTGAAAGTGCAGTTGTAAGACGCTATAGCACCGAATTCACCAATGTCGAGTGTTGAAGTAGCAATGGTCACGTTTCTAGATCGAGGCCCTGAACACATCTTGTAGTTGTAAAATTTGACTCTGTACGGTCCCTGTTTGGAAAGAATATTATATTTATTTAAGAAAAATTGTATTCTTCTTGTTGGTCTGTTGGTTGATTGCTCTGTTAACTCGCTGGGGAACTGTCTGCCTTGCAACGTGTTGTGGATTCGACTCCTACACGGAATTACTCTTTGTTTAATCAACAAATTGTTATTTTTGGTCGAGTCTGGGTGTTACATGTATGTGAAATTCTATATTTGTAAACGCACCAAACAGCACTAGAGAAAATCAACATTTATACTAAGGACAGAAAGAAGAAATAATTAAAGCATGGGGTCTGGTATTGTGTTCAGGGCATGGAAATCAACCCACCCTTTATAGTGAAAAGTAAGTGCGTTAAATTGTTCACTACTACTTCTGCTTACCCTCTGACATTAAAATATGTAATTTTTTACCATAGGGCGTTAAACGAGCAGACAGGTCAACACACTTACTATACCAGCGAAGTACCTCATGTAAACCGAAGTACCCGATGGTAAGCAATTGGCACCAACAATTAAACCTCGCAAAACCAGAGAAGTTGCAATCACGTTGCCAGTCTTTTGGGTATAAGGTATTTTTGAGACTGACGGATTGGGGAGAAAAGGTCGGAAGGCTTGGGCTTCCGGCAACCTCACTCACAGGCGCCTTTTTTTCGTAAAGCCTGATGTCAGTCTTTTCGTGCCATAGCATGGGTATCCCACCCCTGAATGTGCAATATCAGCTTTTTTTGCGTTTAGGGATTTAAGAATTGGGGGAGAAGAATACTACGTAAGCGTGGTTTTATATCGGTTTTGTTGCTCCTTCGTCAATACAGAGGTTACTTACATAATTATTCGCAGTTTTTGTTAGAGAAAATTCCGAAGACGAAGCACGCGATACAAAAATTAAAATCAGAATTCTTAAAACCAACATTATAGGCACACAGGGTGTACACTGTACAGAGTGTGTTAAAATATGAATTTGATATTACCATAATTTGTAACTTAATGTTTTTATAATGGAACACGGAGTAATGGATATTTAATATAAATTTTTGATGCTACCGCAATCACCGAATCAATTTATTTATTCGGTTGCGAATTTAATTTACATGAATTACTTATTTCAAGGTAAATTTTACTTGAACTGATCTGTATTGGCGTTTTTATGGCTTTAATTCGTTTATTGGGCAAACAGGAAATGTATCAGACTTTAAGTGCTCGACATATGAATTTAAGATGAAATTAATTCTGTAATTTTCTGATCAATCATATTTGAACTTGTGCAAAATATGACGTCATATGTCTTAAATGTTCTATGATACAAAGGCGTACTTTTATACTGTAGAAAACCGCCAGGCGTGATCATTTCTCCTAGTTGGAGGATCCTCATTTATAGATCTTAGGCACTTGACTCTGTTTGCTAAACTGACATTTATTCAGAAGCCATAAATGAAGTACGTAATTTGCTTATGCAGATCTCTCCAGACTATCTATATCACAAGGTAATTATCCTAATATCAGCAATTTAGCCACTATAATCTACAGCAGTAATATATCAGGGTATAATGCAAATGTCTTTGGAAAATAACGAATGTGTTCATATATTACACGTGGCCATCCATAGCAGATTGAGATTAGAACTAATTGCTGGCATGATGTAATACTAACTGATATTAGGGTGTTACTATCTGTTATTTCAATTAGATAGCACACTCTAGGTCCTAATTGAATCGTAATCTGTATGTGATTAATTTATCTGGGATTGTGAAGATGATTGGTTTGTGAATATTATTGTGTTTATCCAATATTTAGATGTTAAAATTATATTTTAAATGGATTTAATCATATAGTAATCGTCGTGGTGGCCCTGAGGTTTAGGCACCAGAGGTTTAGGTTCGTACACCAGAACGCGGATTCGAAACCTGCCAAGTACCAGTATGATGTTTTCTAAGTCATATGTATATACGTTCTAACTGTATGGAGACACTATTGACAAACGGTATAGGAAATATCGTTGGTATCTGTTGTGGGTACTTGTGTATTCTTATTAAATAAATAAGATTGACTAAGAAGGGGGTAGTTCAGTTTCAATCAGTACAAGTTGTTCAGGTTTTCCTACTTATCTCAGATAACTTAATAAAAGTATTTAACTAAATACTGTTATGTCTATTAAAACCACAGTTTTAATGGACATAACAGCATCGTAATATGTACTTTCTATGATTATTTAGACACCACTGACATACGGTAAAAGTAAACATCGTGAGGAAACCTAGACTTACAATTTCTAATTATAAGTTTGAAATCACCAACAAGCATTGAACAAGCGAGGTGATTAATGCTCTAACCTTCTCCGTATGAAAAGAGTTCTTTGCTTAGCAGTGGGCACTTATAGGCTGATGATGATGAACAGTGTCGTTGTTGATTTCAAACGTATAATAAAAAATCCGCCTTGAGCAAGCGTGGTGCTGATCAATGCTCAAACCTTCTCCATGTGAGAAGAGGCCTTTGTTAAGTAGTGTGCACTTATAGGGTGATGATGTAATGAGGTAATCATATGTATAAGTATTTCATGTCAGCTACAAAGTTTTTAAAACTCTCACCTTACCTTACTTTACCTTACAAGTAACTGCAAGATTAGCCGACCTATATTTATGAGTTTGAAAAATCATCCAATGACTTTTCTTGTGCTGGAATTTGCAAAAAGGAGTGTCAGATGCAGCTTTATTTACTCTACTAAACACTAAATAAAATTAATCTTTAAATGTTTTATTGAAAACAATATTTTAGACACTTAATTTTGACTTATTAGTATTAAATAATATTTTTCTACTTTTTTTTCAATAATAGACAAATAACAATACGCCACTAATGTGTTGTATCCCATTTCGGATTGCCGATTTGTAGTGGGAACCAAATTCTTTATTCTTCACGAGCTTACAACATAGACATTTTACAATGGATTGAATTTCCCAGTATTTGAAATTGTTCAAGCCAAAATACGGGGAACTGCTAAAGTATTTATAAACAAAAAAACATTTTTGACGCCTGACTTTTAGTAACTTTTGATATATTAAAAGTGCTCTCGCTTAATTAAATTTAAAGAATAAAGAAACTTAGAATTATAATTGGCGCCTTATTTTTTTTTTTTGCAAAATATACATATGTAGGTGCTTTTTTTTGTCAGGGGAAAATCATCCAATGACTTCTCCCGCCAGGGTAAGGCGAGAGAGAGTGTCAGACTCTTACTGACTAAAAACCCCCCCGTTCCTTCTCCTGCTCTGGGCCGAGGTCGCGGTGCCTCATACATATGTAGGTGCTGTTGACCTAAAGCAGAAGGAACAGATTGGTTGTTAGTCAGTTAGAGTCTGACATTCCCTCTTGCCATAGCCTGGGCGAAAGAAATAATATGATTGTATAATCTCCTCAAAAAAAAAAAACAAAAGCAAAACATTATTAGCAAAGAGGTTGGTAAAGAACAAAGGAACTTTTTGACTGTCTGAGTGATATTGGCTTTTAAATAGCAATTGAGATGTAGAAGAACTTATAAATTTGGAAAGTAAATAGGATGGAAGAGGTATTTTCTATTCGCTAAAGGGTTTGTGAACTTGATGTTCTTTGCTCAGTACAAGAGATAACTTAAGCTTGCTGCCGTAATGTAGGCGTCTGAAAAAACTATTAAGTATTCTTTTTAAGCACAAATAATAAAAATGTTTTGGAATAATAATAGAAAAAAATGTTGAAGCACAAAACATGTTGATGATAATATTATGTTAAGGTTTCCTTAAAATCTTTTCTCAGACGCCTCAAAATTACTTCGCGTAAGTACGCTAAAGTAACGGGCTTTCAAAATAGCTAAATGATGCAATTTCACCCACAGTATAGAACGGGGTTTATAGCTGCATTCGACCTCATTTTGGAAAATCGTTTGGAGAGGAATATCAGCGCAGCTCCCAACAGTAACTAGCCTTATTTAAGAATGCTTGTATTTTCTTTAGAGTGTCTTAATTTACTTCGATAGTTAATTAGGGAAGTGCTCGTTTCTGAGGTTTTCTTTGTAATCATTTTGGTTTTTTTTTTTTGTTCTTTGCGACCTAATACCTCGTTAATGTTTTTAATTTGCTTGAAAATAGCACTGTTACATATTTCTGTATAAAGTTGTCTACATCAGGTTGAATAAAAATTGAAAACTACCTGTAAGTCAAGATGAATTTTACATCTTCCAATTTCCCTGTTTAACAAATTTTCAACTTCCGCAATACACCGTCATCCCATTAAAAATGTAAGATAAATTGGTCATCACTATTTTAATATATCGAGTCATTCTGGATAAGTGACGACTAATTAATTAAAACGTTTAATTAATTACAGGGCTAAAAGCGTTGTTAATAAATTATGAAAAGCCTTGGACTTGCTGGATGCGGATCCCAGTGTCGGAATAAACAAGCGACTCAAAAATTGCCCGACAGTTGTTGACGTATGATTTATTATATTTGATCTCTGGGTAGCTTAAACATCATGCGGGTTTAACTGATATATTTATATAAAAATGTATTAATTATATTAAGAAAAGTGTCTGAACCCTTAAATTAAAAACTGATTTGGATATTATGCACTATCCAAAATACTTGTTATCTTTTGTCAAGCATTGTAAATTGGTTTGTTAAAATAATGGAACGGTCAAGAAATTGTTTCCATTATACATTTTATTTAAAAAATCATGAATTAAAATAAAATGTATATGATAAGAAAGGAGCTTTATATTATAAACAAGGCAGTAAATCTATTGCTTGTTTCCCTATTTTTGTCGGTCGATTGTAGCCTCAAAGTTGCCCGTCTGTAGAACTCTAGTTGGCTTTGTTTGCGTTGCACATCAAGTATTTATGTTCAATGTGTAGTAGAGGCATTCTCTTTGTGATATAAGTTCGGGATAATAGTGTTAATTAGACAGATAAAACAAGGCAACTAGATGACTCTGGGACTTGTGTGGGTGGAAAACGAAATGGGTTTGGCTTTTCGTCATCGCATGAATAATTTTACGGAGAACGCTCGTTGTTTAGTTTCTGCTGGTAAATAAGTTGCGATGTACTAATCTAGGTCTTTAAATGTGTGAGTAGATTTTCTATTAACGGTTTGTTGTCATGTAAACGTTGTAATTGGGACTGCTGGGTTATTGTGGTGGCTGGGCAACTGGCTGCTGTGCAACGTGCCGCGGGTTTTAATTCCCGCACGAAACAACACTTTGTGCGATCCACAAATTACTGTTTCGGGTCAGGGTGTGATGTGTATGTGAACGCACCCACGACATGGAAGAAATTCATAGTGTGGGTCAACGTTTAAAAATATATAATGTAGTTGAATTACGTCATTTCTTCTTCTTCTTCTGATATTAAACTTTCGAAGTTGTAATTAATTTAATATCGTAAAAATATAAGATTACGTCGGCTAGATAAAGGCCAATTTAATGAGTAAAACAGTTAAAACGTAATAAAGAACTGCTGACGACAGTAATTTTCTTTGAGTAACCCTTTTTGGCACCCTACTACTCATTGTATTTTGAACTGTGCCTCGTTTGCACTCACTGACCAAAGTTTTAAAAGCATGCCAAGCCCTCACGCTATATTTTATGTGTGTACATGTGGTAAATGACTTAAAACCAAGTCATATGGTATTTTTTTTAATAAAAACATTGTATTTTCAAGACACACA